ACTCATAGAATCAGAGGATATCATAGTGGGTATCGGGGTGGGATGGGGTGAGGGAAATATATATAAAGTTTCAATTACTCTAGTCAGTTGAATTCTAGAACTCTGCTGTACAGCATAGTGCCTATAGTTAACAATATGGAAAAGTGCACTTCAAAATTTGTTAGGAGGTCCAGCCTGGTGGTGCAGTTGAAAGTGGACTGAAGTGCAATGCTGCAAGCCACATGCTAAATGTGGGTATGCATCCTCAGCCTGGCCAATCTGAAACAAGCTGAGCAAGTTTGGCCAATTCTGATGAGCTGGAGGGGCTGGGAAAAGGGGATTGTGAAGTGACAAGACCCTGTCAAGGATGCTTCCCTCTCTGTCTCTTTCTCCCTCTCTGACACACATGAATGTGCACGCATGCATACTCTCTATCATGAATAAAATAAATAATGAACTGAAAAATAAAACTCAAAAGCATTAGTTGGGTAGCTTTCATGTTAAATGCCCTTACCACAAAACGAATAAACAAAAATACAAAGGAAAACAGAGGGGAAACTGGTTGGGAGGAAAGTACTTACCTGCTAATGCTGATTGAGTGTATAATCCCAAGGGAAAAAAAAGGGAAGGCAACACTATCAGTGACTGCCATGGGAAGTCTGGAGTCATGAAGAGAGATTTTCTTTGATTAAACATGAGTTAACAACAACAAAAATATTGAAATAAAGTTTCTCTTGTATGTAAATTTGAAAGTCAAAAGTCATGACGAAAGTGAAAGATCTAAGCAGAGTATTTGTGTGTTCTTTCTACTTTTATACTTAAATTATTTCACAGTGGAGAATTAGAAACAACAGCAGCTCACAATCCCATCCCAACAGCCGAACAGTAAACCTAACCCTAAACATGAGCTTAAGCTCACCTCTAACTTAGAAACTTCTTAAAGTGTGTAAGGAAGAATTTGAGGAAGTCCCAGAGACATTGTTACCTCCCTAAACATGTCTTCTATTGGGGTAATAAGAGAAAATTGGAGCTTCTGAAGTGATATATAAAAGATAGTGCTGGTCCTCTTCTTGTTTCCTTTCATAGATACTGGAGAGAAAACATTACTTTCTCAAGAAATTTTCATTTCATTTTTATTTCCAACCCTAATGCTCTGAGATTCAACAACACAATTCTTTTTCATTTCTTTTTTTTTTTTGGAAGTGTTTTTGCTATAGGGCGCATGCGCTCACCAGAAAGACAGAGAGAGACAGAGAGACAGAAAGCGAGAAATCACCCCCCAGGGGAGATGGCCACACCACAGTCCCTTCTCCTCCATTCTCCTCTTGGGATCTTGGGCATGCACGCACATGTGTCTGGCGTGAGTTTAAGCCACTGGGTCTGGGACTCGAACCACAGTAAACTACGTGGGAGACCAGCAACATAGCCATTACGCTAACTGCTGGTCCAAACAACACAATTCTAAGATCTATGATACTCTCTTAAATAAAACTTGTAGTCCTGTGAGTACTCAGAAGAGAAAAGACATAACAAAATTTGTCAGGGACTGAAAAAAAGAATATTGAATCTCTTAAGTACAGTAGTTTGGAGACACAGCTTTTGTGGGCTCCAAAATAACCAGGAGTCTGAACTTGAGCTCTGGGCAAAAATTAAGATCTCAAAATTAGAGCACGAGTTGTTTTTCCTGTTATTAATGGATGTGCACACAACAGTGATAGTGATATTTCCCAATTTTTTGAAACATATGAAGTGGGTGTTTTCCAGCACAGTATTTACCCCATTTTAAAGTAATACTGGAGGAAATTTTACATTTTTTTTTTTGGAGAGGTTTTTGCTATAGAGCGCATGCGCTCGCCAGACAGACAGAGAGAGACAGAGAGACAGAAAGCAAGAAATCACCCCCCAGGGGGGATGGCCATGCCTCAATCCCTTCTCCTCCATTTCTTTGAACACTCAAAGGTATGAGCTAAATAAACCTCTGTTCTTTATAAATTACTCAGACTCAGCTATTTCCTTTATTAACAATACAACAGACTAAGAGTTGCTTGGCATGGTTGCATATTTAATGGTTATTTACAGGTTCTACTATCATGCAAAGCCAGAACTGCCTTTATTTTTTAAAATTCATGATAGAGTGCATGCATATACGAGAGAGAGAGAGAGAGAGAGAGAGAGAGAGAGAGAAAGCATCCTCCACAGGGCTCAGTCATACTGCCATCCTCTTCCTCCAGCTCTCCAGTCTACCAGGATCCTGGGAACGAGTGAATGTATCTGGTGCATTTCAGGCTGACTGGTCCAAGGATATGAACTGTGGTCAGCATGTGGCTTCCAGATCCTCAGTCTGGTATACTACTGACTGCTTCATGGAGGTTCAGCCCTGCCTACATATTTTTTAAAAAAATCTTTGTAGGACATTGTACTAAGTAAAATAAGTCAGTCACAGAAGGACAAATGCTGCCTGATTTCACTTGCATGTGATGTAAAAATAGGCAAACTCATAGAATCAGAGGATATCATAGTGGGTATCGGGGTGGGATGGGGTGAGGGAAATATATATAAAGTTTCAATTACTCTAGTCAGTTGAATTCTAGAACTCTGCTGTACAGCATAGTGCCTATAGTTAACAATATGGAAAAGTGCACTTCAAAATTTGTTAGGAGGTCCAGCCTGGTGGTGCAGTTGAAAGTGGACTGAAGTGCAATGCTGCAAGCCACATGCTAAATGTGGGTATGCATCCTCAGCCTGGCCAATCTGAAACAAGCTGAGCAAGTTTGGCCAATTCTGATGAGCTGGAGGGGCTGGGAAAAGGGGATTGTGAAGTGACAAGACCCTGTCAAGGATGCTTCCCTCTCTGTCTCTTTCTCCCTCTCTGACACACATGAATGTGCACGCATGCATACTCTCTATCATGAATAAAATAAATAATGAACTGAAAAATAAAACTAAAAAGCATTAGTTGGGTAGCTTTCATGTTAAATGCCCTTACCACAAAACGAATAAACAAAAATACAAAGGAAAACAGAGGGGAAACTGGTTGGGAGGAAAGTACTTACCTGCTAATGCTGATTGAGTGTATAATCCCAAGGGAAAAAAAAGGGAAGGCAACACTATCAGTGACTGCCATGGGAAGTCTGGAGTCATGAAGAGAGATTTTCTTTGATTAAACATGAGTTAACAACAACAAAAATATTGAAATAAAGTTTCTCTTGTATGTAAATTTGAAAGTCAAAAGTCATGACGAAAGTGAAAGATCTAAGCAGAGTATTTGTGTGTTCTTTCTACTTTTATACTTAAATTATTTCACAGTGGAGAATTAGAAACAACAGCAGCTCACAATCCCATCCCAACAGCCGAACAGTAAACCTAACCCTAAACATGAGCTTAAGCTCACCTCTAACTTAGAAACTTCTTAAAGTGTGTAAGGAAGAATTTGAGGAAGTCCCAGAGACATTGTTACCTCCCTAAACATGTCTTCTATTGGGGTAATAAGAGAAAATTGGAGCTTCTGAAGTGATATATAAAAGATAGTGCTGGTCCTCTTCTTGTTTCCTTTCATAGATACTGGAGAGAAAACATTAGTTTCTCACGAAATTTTCATTTCATTTTTATTTCCAACACTACTGC